TAAATATTTCTAGAGGAACATTGTTCTCTTGGATGTTTGTGTATAATGAAAAAAAAAATTAATGCATCCACAATCTCATAGATTTATTGAAGCATAGTTAGTAAAACAAGCATAAAAAATAAATGATACTTACGTTTTTTCTGTCTATGAAAGTAGAAATGTAGTCCAATCTCGTAGTAAAAAAGTTGTCACCTACTTACGGTTCTCTGAATTCATTTATTTTTGATTATAATTTGAACTCATTCATAGATGTCATTTCTAGTCTGTTAGAACCTACAGCAAGTTCTTGAAAAAGATATTGAAGTTCCATACAACTACTATATAATGAAATGATTAAAATAACAAGGTGAGAATCAATACTAATTTTAATAAAGTTGAAATATTAAGAAATACAACTGAATGTTGTTTCAAATATCAATTTGTCTTCGTCAATTGAATATTCCTTTAACTTGTGTTCCACTGTGTATAGAGAAGAACTTTGTAAGTGAGATTTTCTCAAGGGAAAAGCACTTTTCCGATTCAATCCTATGCCCTCACCCACACATAGTGCTGTGTTCTACCCAGAAAAACCTGAAAATTATCTTTCTTTCCTTAAAAAAATTTAGCCACGAAGTTCCTCTGCATATATGGTGAAACACCAGCTAAAGAGTTATCAAAAACAAACGTTTTCAAAAATAAATATTATTATTAGATCAAGTTTAATTTATGTACTCAAATACTACAAAAAAAACTAATGATCAATCTGAATTTAATTAAAATTTAATCTGAGAAAATAAGAATAAAGAAACACTAATGACAAGCGCGCACTATTTATGTTAGGATCAGAAAATCTGCATATGGACTCTAAAAATACCTTCTTCTCGAAAGCTAACCGAAATGTGGTTTCCAGAAGTGATGAGCAAGTCAAGCCAAAAATGACTTACGACAAAGTTAAGCCATTTTTGAGTTGCTTCGACTTGATTTGCTTGACTAGTGACTTAACAAAAATAGAAAATTGATGGAAAAAACGATAGAAAGCATCTTAGAAAATATCACAATTTATTTGAAAAATATTTATCTGCCTGTTTTTTTTTGAAAAAAGTATTAGGATCATAAAACTGTCCAAATATCTAGGTATGAAGAAATATAAAACTTGAAAGTCGAGTATAAAACCGTACTTTGTAGCTGATTTTATCTTTCTAACGACAGTAGTATCTTTTTTACCAACTGAAAACATAAGTTATTTTGAATTATTCAGTGAAAAAATTTGAAAGAATTCTTCGTTTTCTCTTAATATTCACGTATTTGGAACGTAACAGACTAAAATAAAAGTTGTTACCATTAGAAACTCCAACAGTCATATAGTTTCGTATTAAGCACTTTCGTGAAACTGTAGTAATAAAATTTTCTCGAAAGAACTCGTTGATTAACTGATATACTAACCGGACTGATTGTTCAACGGTTGAGTTCTGTATTTGAACTGGACCGTTCGATCTGATCGAAAACAAATCCTAACTTTTTCAATATGCTCATAGTAAAAATCATGTAAGATTCTCACTAGCATCCTTTAATAAGAAACATTAATGATCAAGAAAAGTCATCAGAACAAATTGACACTACATGACACAGTCCAAATTTTATGACTAGTTTCTATAGCAATAGCTGGCGATTAATGGAATGCTGTACAGTGACAACACAAACAAAAATATGTAGCCCACGAGTTTTTCAAATAACGCAAAAAGAATATGTGAGCAACTGAAACACCTAACGTCCAGCACAAACTATAAGGTCTTGAAATAGAACTATCCATGCCGATCGATAGCCTATGATTCTGTCTATCCCAAAGAAAAGTGTATATGTTGATTCTATTGCAGAGGTTATAGATAGAAGGAAGATAAGACGTTTGAAAAGTGTAGATTAACATTCCTTGACCCCAAAAACCTTCAGTCAAGTTTAATACAAAAAAAAAGTTATTTTTGAAACCTAGCATTTTCTGACTGAACAGATTGAAATCGAATCTAAGTTCACCATAGGTTTAAAAAATATTGACACTTTTCTCAAGAAATTCACAATTTTGACGACTAGTCGATCATCACACGACACTGAAAATACTTCTTACAATTATGCACATCTTTTCATTCATACAATGCTGTGCTAGCCAATACGTACATAGCGTATGTATCATCCAAAGAAGGATCGATGTGTGAACGCATTTAATTCGCATTCAGTCAAATACAAACAACTTACTAGGAACAGTAGTGAGACACAAACGATTAACCGATAGTTTATCTGTGGCAACGGTTACGATCACAGTCACTATTCGACTATGAACATGAGCAATTTTCGGATCTCTGGAAGAAACTCTGTTGGACAAAATAAGCAAGAAAAAAAAATACAAAATATAATCCTCAATATATATGCACAAACATATTTGTGTGAAAATTCAAAAATATTTTTGATGTAATTTAGACAGTGAAATCGTTAGTCATTATTGAAATCAGAAATGACTTACGATGACAAGTAAAAACTGCCTGACAGTATAGCATACCGTTTTCTACAGTGATTTGCTTCATTTATGTTAATAATAAAGAAGCATCATAGAACTTCATACTTCATGCTGAGAAACAGACGACATTAACAACCAATTATAGTCACGCATATATCTGTTTAAATTTTATTCAAAATATAGTTCAATCTTGATAAAAAAAAAACAAATTTTGTATATAAACATAACGAACAAATTAGTTTTATTCGATAGTAAGTAAATAGTGAGAATATAATTTAAGAAACTATTTTTTTCTTTTAATTTTAATATTGCAATTGAATTTTAATTTATTTCTTTAACAATGATATTTTCTTCATCATCTACTCATCAAATTTGAAAACTAAATAAGCAAATATTTTATCGAAAGATGTTGTAAAAGATAGTAAGTCATTTTTTCTTTGTAGAATTGAATTTCTAACGGTTTACTATATCACTCCACCGGCCTGTTCTTATAAGCATGTCTATTTCCTTAGAAAAATGACATCCGATTTCCTACTTTTATACCATATAATCTTTTCAGGAAATATTCCCTATATAATTTAATCGAGAAAGAGAAAAAGTACAAGCAAAAAAAGTTTCATTGATTTATGTTTTGAAGTAGTCAAATGTGACGATGCATAAAAAATTAAGATAACTGCTTCTTAATAATTCATATATATATATATAGACACTTTAGAAAAACACAAAAAAGTAACTAAGAATACTTTTCATTATAATATTTCTTAAGTCGTTAAATAATTTTCTTTTTTCGTTTTGGACAACCACGAGGAGTTCATGTTGAAGTAAAATATATTTATTAATTCTGTTTGAGAATAACTCACTCAAAACAAAAGAAGGTAGCTATACATTATGTTCATGTTAAAATTATTTTCTCGGATGAATTCACATCCATTTTACTTCTTATAACAGCCGTTGATTTAATTGTTTTTACACTTTTTCTTCTTAGTGTAAGTCAATCGTATGCTGAAGTCTATTATATTTTTTATAATTAAATGAATGTTCAAATAGCCTAAAAACATCTTGAGAGTAATGAATAAACCTATTAATCTATAACATTGATTAGCAGCTGCAATACCACTCATATTGCCTATAGGCTCTATAGATATATATAATTGAGTTAGTTTTACTCTTAGTAAGATAGTTCATCCAAGAATTTAAAGTGCACTTATTTTGTTCATGTTGCACGAAGCATAAATAAACACTTTTTTTTTAAGCATTTTGCGCTTTGAAAACACGTAATTTAGTAAAAGGAATGAGTACTGACAAAATCAATGACGCTATAATAATATATACTTTTTTGTCACACTACAAGTAATATATTCTTTATAATTCTATCTTCTGCATCTTAATTTCCATCTTCTTAGATCAATGACTCTGTTCATTTAACTAAAATTCATAATTCGCATAGAGAATTATGAATGTTGAAAATATTCGACCAGTAGAAAAAGTAACGCCCTCTATGTTGATATCGATAGGATTTGTTTATTGCTTGACCATTACACCGTTTCAGTAGTTTTTATTTGTCTATCTTATAGGCAAGGAAATCAGCCGGTTAAATATTCATTCATTACTTTCTTTTGATTAATGATCGTATGTTGATTGGGTAAATAGATGGATAGCATGCTCATGACTTCAATGCATGATAAATAACTAACTGATCGAAGACTATTTCCGCATTTTTTTTAGTAGAACAAAAAAACATACGATTGTCGTTGCTGTTGTTATTTTTTATTGTATTTTTTTTTTTCATTCTTAGATAAATTAATATTTAATATCGCATAATTACTTCATATTTAGAAAATATAAGGAAAAGAAAAGGATAAAAAAATTTCTTAATGCATTTTCCTTTAAAAAAATTTACTATTAATTCATAAGTTAGATGATTAACTAATGAAATTTGTAATAATAAATTATAAATTATAAGAATAATATAGAAAAGAATATAAATAGACTGATTTTTTTAGCGTAGGAGTGTCAGAACGACGAAGTCTAAATATCGTTGTATGTGTTACATGCGTCATCACAACAGTGCAGGATCGGTCGATAGTTTGATTACTTGCACTCGGCGGAGAAGGGGATAAGGAGTATGTAACAATTGTTCGTGTCTCTTTTTTTTTCCTTTTTTTCTTTTTCTTGTAATATTCTTCATCTTTCACATGTTTTCGTCCGACGTACTGTGGTACCATGAAAAAGTGCACGAATAAATCAAATGAAGCATGTATTAATGCTTCATAACCTAAATTATTGTAGTCAATCGAAAGAAAAAAATTAAACGGTAACATTTACAATTGTTTTTCTTTTATATGCCTCGAAATAAAAACATATTTTTACCTCCCATATGTCATTACATTCATTAATGTATGTCTTTCACCAAGTTAACAAATATTTTATCACCTTGAAATAAATGTGAAATGTCAAATTTAACCTTCATCTATTTTAGATCATTTTAAATGTTTTACACTTTTTATAAACACGTATGACTAAGCAAGACGATCCTTCATTCACTGGTCCATTAACACTTAAATTTACTGGTATTGATGATGAAACAACATCAGACGAAGAAGAAGCCAAAGAAAAAAATACTAATCAAAATCATCCACTAGATTCTACTTTGTGTACATCTAACGGAGATACTCACAACCTCACTGTTAATAATTGTTATGGTAATAAAAAAAAAATTTATTTTTTTTTTGAATATTTTTTTCTTTATTTTTAAGAAAATAATAATGTAAGTCATCGTCGTAATCAATTAACATCAATTCCATATAAAAATTATTTTGAACATCGTGAACGTTGTTGGACATTTATACCGAATACAGATGTAATTGTTGTTAATGTTGCTGTTAGTCGTGAACATCATTTTCGTCTCAATCCATTTTTGTAAGTAATCTGGTTTTTCTTCTGCTATTTTCTTTCTTTATTCGTAAAGCTGTCGAAGACAGCCGAGTACAAATGAGCAAAATTGGCTTGAACGTTTAAATGTCAGGTAGTCATAACAAGGGAAAAATGGAAGAATACATTTATTACACAAAATGCTTTCTAAAACGACTCATTTTGCTTTTTTAATTTTTTCCTTTTTATAAAGGATTTCTTTACACATTTTCTTCTTTTTTATAAAGATATACAATAACATTACGACATGGTGAATTTAATTGGACAATAACAAAAAAATATAAAGATCTAGTTATATTTTTTGAACGTATGAATGTTTTTCAAAAAACTGCCGCTTTACCAATTCCGACTACATCGTATGCTAAATAAATAATTAATATTGAATATAATTGTGTAAAATTTTATTTGTTAGACATCGTGAAATTCGTCGTCAGATGTCACATTCACATGCTGTACAAGGACTCACACTTAAACCTGATATGCTTGTTGATGACAGTGATATTAATGATCGAGAAGTATGAATTAAAAATAGATTTTCTTTTTCATATTAATTTTTTATTTTAGAAACTTGTAGCTGAAAAATTAAATTCCATTGTAAATCATCCAGTTCTTTCACTTCATAGTGAATGTGTAAGCTTTTTACAGATTATAAAAGAAATTTATTAATGTTTTTCTTTTTATAGATAAAATTTCTTGACTCATCTCCATTATCATTTATGCGTGAATTAGGTCGTAAATATAAAGAAGGTATTGTAAAAAAACATTCAGGTGGTTATAGACAAGGTTGTTGTGCTAATATTGGTGCACGTATTAAATGGCTTAAACGTTGGTTTGTAACAAAAGATTCTTGGATTGCTTATTTAAATCCTAAAACAGGACATGTACGTGCTGTTATGCTTGTTGATAAATTTTTTCATGTACGTACTGGTCGTGTTCATACGGGTTCAGTTAATAAAATATATATTTGTAATTTATCACGGTAAAATTCTTTTATTTTTATATTCAAGAAAATTTTTATATGATATTGTTTTTTTTTCTTTAAAGTCGACTTTACGTAAGTTGTCCAACTGAACGTAAAGCAATTGAATATTTTGATGATATTAATCGAATGTTAAAAACAACAGGTCGAGATTTTCATATTGAAACAAGATTTAATTCATTTGCACCTATAAGAGTCAATACAAAATGTCAATGGCTGGTTGATGGTTCTGATTATATGGAAGCTGTTGCTTATGCAATTAAATCAGCTACAGAAGAAATTTATATAACTGATTGGTTTCTTAGTCCAGAAATTTATCTTAAACGTCCAGCTTTATCTGATGAATGGCGTTTTGATAAAATGTTAGAAAAAAAAGCGGTAAAAAACAACAACAATAACGATAAATATTCTTCTTTAATTAATCGATAAATTTGATGTACTTTAGAATGAAGGTGTACGGATATTTGTTCTATTATATAAAGAAGTTGAATTAGCTATCGGAATAAATAGTTCGTATTCAAAAAGAAAATTACTTCAAGCACATCCAGAAAATGTTAAAGTGCTTCGTTATCCGGATCATACAGGACAAAATGCTGTTTTATTTTGGGGACATCATGAAAAATTAGTTATTATTGATCAAAGTATTGCATTATTTGGAGGATTTGATTTATGTTATGGTCGATGGGATAATTATCAACATTTGTAAGATGCACACAGAATATTTTTAATTCATGTATGCCTTTTGTTTTGTTTTTCTATTATTTAGATTAACTGATTTCGGAAGTGCATTACCTATGAAACATCATCCAAGTCAAAGTGTACCAAGAACACATAGTGTTCCATTAGTAAGAGAATTTTTCTTTTAAAAATATCGAAAAATAATTCTACATATTGTATTGCCTAGCGGTAGATTCAATAGCCGAAAATCTATATTACAATAGTCGCAAAACAGTGGTGCTACCAAGTAAAAAGTACCTAAACTCGAATTCTTTAGTCTCATAGTTTGACCATAAATAGATCGTGTTGAACTCTAATTGCAAGGATTTAGTAGGTTTTTATAAAGAAAAGCTTCAAGTGGTTTTAGTTGGCCTGATTTATGAACTATGCTGTAACTAATCTTCACATGAAAGTTAATAGGAATCGTCGAAAAGTGACCGATATCTCTGACTAAAATCAATCGTTTTTCTTGATATTTTCTGCTATAAGTGTCCCGTCCTAATCATATTTAAAGATCGCACTCGTCTCTACAAGAGAGATCAAGACTGATACCATCTCAGATAATTAAGCCTTCATCGCACCTTAAGATGACAGCGGATTGAAGTAACCTATTTTTGACATAATTAAGACATACAAATCTTTATCAATTAATGAGAAAATGGAGGTTAACACATTTATGTAGTGAAAAATCGGAAGAGTATCGAAAAAGCTTTTTTGGGGGCCCCAGGGGAAAAAGCCAGTGTTATCATCATAAATATTTTGCATTAAGGCCTATCGATCTCGGATTGTTGCTTGCAAGCAGAGCTTATCGACATCTACTTATAATCAAAATATCAGACAAAAAGAATCAAAGTTTATGTACATTTTACTCGCTAACAGCACTTGTGGTTGTGTTAACCACAAATTCATTGTATGGCTGGTGATACTAAGTTTTACGCTCAGTACCTTGTGAATACATATCGAACAATATAGTTACTCAGCCATAGTGGCTTGCGATAGGAAGAATATAGAAAATATTTTCCCATCAATTTTTGAATCTATCAATTGTAATTGTATTGAAAAGAAAAAAGTTTCGTAGATCTTTAATTATATTAGTATATTACGAATATATAAAAATTCTTTTTGTTTTCTTAATAAAATTATGTAGATCAATGAAATGACTCAATCACCAGTATCGATTGATGCACTTGATCTTGATAGTGCAACATGTAATCGTTTTATAAATGCAAATGATCATATTGAACAAAAAACTGAACTGACCCCATCTCCATCATCACGTCCAATAACTACTACTGATGCATTTTTTCCATCAAAAATTGCTCAATTTCGTAGTGAATATCAACTTAAAGATCATCTTAAAGAACCATATTCATCTGATTCGATTTCACATAACATTCATGATAATTTTGTTTCATTAGCACCAAATCGTTCACAATCAAAAATGCTTAATGATCAAACATCTGATACAATTGATCGAATAATAAATCCAACACGACGTTATTCATCATCCGATATTGATCAACAATCCGTTCATCTTATGGATATGCAACATAGACAATTAATTGAACAACAAAAAAAACGTCGAATATATCATTTTAATCATACACTTTTTTCAAATATATATAAACGTACACATCGTTTATCATCAGCTGATTCTCATACATATTTAAATACAATGCAAAATCGTGAACGTCATACACGTCGTCGACATCAGAGTGTTAGAGATTCAGATATGGCTGATGAACATACAACATCAGATAGTGTTTATAGTCGAGCTTTAGAAAAAAATACTCTTAATCATGAACAAGAAGATAATGAAGAAGAACAACAACATCGAATATATCGAACAGTACTTTCTGTACCTGATGGAGGACCTCGACGTACACGCGCTAGTACATCATCACGTCAAAGACTTTCATCATGTGGTAATGCATCTGATTTACAAATTGAAAATAAACACCCACAACAAATAAAAATGTCAAAATTAAATGCTGAATCAAATAATCGCGGAAAAAAAATTTCATTTCTTTTAACTCGCCGAAGAGCAAGTTATTATCCAGATAATACATTAAATGTTTTATCGGATGATCAAAAAAAGAAACGAGATGTTATATGGCCATTGAAACGATCGTATTCATTTGATACACCTTTTCATCGTGAAACAATTGAAGCTTTGAATAAAGGTATGTACATAAGTGAAACCAACAAGAAAAATAAAAGTTGAACATTAGTCTATCATAAAACTAATTCATTTATAGAACAGAATTATTCACCAACCGAGACTTGTAAGTAAAGAATATCCGACTTGTCTGTTGTCCCTTACACTTAATATTTTGTCAGCTATTTTTCTGTTTCAATGTGATTCATTGTAAATGATAAAATATCATTATTTCATTAAGTTGTGCACGATATAGGTTCACATGTTGTTTTCAATTATTCTGTGTGTTAATATTTCTCTCTCTCTGTATATATATATATGTCTTGTACCATTTTAGACAGTGGATCTCGATGGGAAAGACTTAAACTTGGTATTCAATCAAAAATAAATCGTTTTACAAAATCAACTGAAGATGTTTCAACAATAGCTCTTTCACAAATACCTAGAAGAAATTCAACAGAAGCACAACCAATATCATCATCGAATCGTCATCTTGGTACTAATGTTGGTCCAACATTTGATCGTGTACGTTTACGTGATAAACTTCGTCGTGTAAAATTAAATTTAAAAACAACTTGGAAACAACGTTCTGATTTAAATGAATCTGATCAATCTGATATTGATCATAATGATTATTATCGTGATTCATTACATGATGATATGAGTTCATTTACTGGTCCATCAATGAAATCTACAACAAATCAACTTGGTTTACAAGGTTCATCAAAAATGTGGTTTGGAAAAGATTATGCAAATTTTTTACTTCGAGATTTTCGTAATCTTGATCAACCATTTCAAGATCAAATTGATCGAAATATAACACCACGTATGCCATGGCATGATATTGGAGCTTTTGTATATGGTGCTTGTGCTCGAGATTTAGCAAGACATTTTATTGAACGATGGAATTTTGTTAAAAGACAAAAAATTAAAGATGATGAACGTTATCCATTTTTATTACCAAAAACTTATGGAATCTATACCCCATGTCCTAAACTTCTTTCAAATACATTTAATTGTTCAACGCAAGTATGAAAAATAATAAAATTTTTGTTTTTCTTTTTTGTAAATGTTTGATTTTTCTTTTTGAAAGGCGTTACGAAGTGTTGGTCGATGGTCAACAGGTAGAAATGATACAGAAGAATCTATACATAAAGCTCTTATTGATATGATAACCAAAGCTAAATATTATATTTATATTGAAAATCAATTTTTTGTTTCATTAATTGATGATTCAACTGTACATAATGGTATAGCTGAAGCTTTATTTAAACGAATATTACGTGCACATCAGTAACTAAAATATTTTTTCAAATAACATTTCAAATAATTCTTTTGGTATGTGTTTTTTTTTTGTTCGTCTTTAGAGAAAAAGAAACATTTCGTGTTTATATTGTAATGCCATTAATACCCGGTTTTGAAGGACAATATGGTACATCGAAAGCTACAGCATTACAAGCTATAACACATTGGAATTATCGATCAATATCTCAAGGTCAACAATCATTATTAGTTCGTTTAGCAAAAGAAGTTGGTGATCCACATCGTTATGTATGTTTTTTTGGTTTACGAACATGGTCAGAAATGAATGGACGTCTTGTATCAGAAATTGTTTATGCACATAGTAAATCAGCTATAGTTGATGATAATCGCGTATTAATTGGATCAGCAAATATAAATGATAGAAGTTTACTTGGTGATAGAGATTCTGAAATATCAGTTTTATTTGAAGATACAGAATTCGTACGTGGAATGATGAATGGACAAAATGTTCAAGTTGGAAAATTTGCAAGTGGTTTACGTAAAAGATTGTTTCGTGAACATTTAGGAGATTTTGATGGAACACAAATAAATTATCAAGATCCTATATCAGATTCATTTTATAAAGATACTTGGTTATCAACAGCAGCAAGAAATACAACAATGTTTGAAAAGGTATTTTCTTTCTCTTTTAAATTTCGACTTACTACTACTTCGCACTGACCGTGACAGACACCTTGAGAACTTATCACAGCCTGTGACAGATACTCTGGAATAGAGTCTATCGGGTTTGTTTCAGCCGTGACGGGCTCTATCTTTGTCAGAGATATGTGTAAGATGCACTATTCACCCTATAAAGAAAAATGAAAAAAACTATCATCACTGGAACTATCCTATTCTGATTAAAAAACTCTATTGAAATTATCAAAGTATGGTTCGACCGGGTCCAAAGATTTTGAATCCAACGTGCTCTACCCAAGGAACCTATCATGGACTGTGATATGCATCTTGATAATGCGACAGATGTTATTAATATACGATTGTTCATCATATATCGATAACGTCTTGTTCTAATATATTAACTACTTCCTTATTACATTTCCGAATAAGATAATGATGAAATGTATTCTAAAGTAGATAGGCTAAATCAATCTACATATGATTAGTAAAATTAGCTCTATTGTCCTTCACATTTTAATACCATTTGGATTGTGCTAACCGATTTTCTTCTTGTTCTTTTAGATTTTCAATTGTATTCCCACTGATTCTGCATTTACATTTTCTCAATTACGTGAAATTCAATCATCTTCAAAACTTTGTGAAACTAATCCTGAAGAAGCACGACGTTTACTTCAATCAATACGTGGTTATTTGGTATTAATACCACATAAATTTCTTTCAAAAGAATATCTTGGACCACGATTACCAGCTAAAGAAATTTTAGCACCAACATGGTTTTGGACATAAATATTTCGAAAGAAATATTTTATTTTTATTATTTAGTCATGGGGCAATAATAGATTTTTATTGATCTAACAGCAATATATAGCAATGTTTTCTTTCTTTTTTTTTTAAATACAGTATGTTTTGAACAGACATAAAAGAGAAAAAAACTATTGATTGAGGAGGAGTTGAGTTCCGTCCATCGTTATTTTTTTTTCGCCATTCTTTATTATTCATTAGGTACAGATCAATACAATTCACAAAAAAAAATACAAAATATTCTTTATTTGATAAATGTTTTTTTCTTTTTTAATGTGATAATACTGTGTACGATTTAGTATTTTGCATTTTGACATGTCCTTATTTGTGTAAAATCTCACTTTACTATTCTATATCAAAAATTTCTCTAGGCTTTTATTGCTAAAAATTTATACACATATGTTTCTGGATTCTTCTTTCGATAATATCGATTGTTGGGTGACCCTTGAAATGTTCTTCTTGTTTTTTTTTCTTGTGAATATGGATATTTAATTTTATCTCTTTTTTTTCTTCTTGTGTTATTGATAAAGATAAATGGCGATAATAAAAGGACTAACATGGACAAAGAGGAACATAAACCAAAAGCATAACTTCTTTTCTTTTTTTTTCCAGAACATAAAAATCATCAAGATTGACTATGGCAAGTAATGGCATAACTGATCTTGTTTCAGTTTATCTTTTGAATTTAAAATTATTTCAATAATTAATTATTTATCATATTTAAGTTATTCTAATTATAATGAACGTATTTTGTTGGTAGTGTACATTATTAGAGTAGTTCTTCGTGATGAATATTTAATTGCAATTAGATAGAATTTCATGCATATATTATGAACATGAAGATAATCAGGTCTACATGAGAAATTATTTTATTCATATATACGTCATTGAAGTAAGCAATAAAATACATCAATTGCATTGCTAATTATAATGATGGATGGAACATGTTATATAGTAGAAACAAATTTTTATTTGATATAAACTCAAGTCGAACAAGTACGCTTGTAAAACGACTGTGAGTGATCTCATTTCTCTGTATTGGTTGACCTGAGTACTTACTATTAGATCTACTGTTTAATTAAATCGAAATAAAAAAAAATGCTAAGTTACTTTTATAAATTAATACATACCATTATATTGTATTGTTGTGATGAATCAAAATAAAAGAAAATTATTTTATTTTAAAAACTCACACTTATAATTGTATCTGTTATTGAACTAAATCCATATCGAGCAACATAATTTAATTGTTATTAGTAAAACTCTTGATCGAGACGGACATCTGAACTCAAACCTCAATTACTGTCGACGGTCATTTACGTTGATAGTAAATATCAATCGTATTTCAACCTGTGTCGTCGTAGGCGTTCATCATATTCGACTATCATATTTCATTCTTGACGGCTGTTTACAATCTTGCATTTTCAACTTGGGATTAGACAAGTTCTTTTTTGTCTTTCTATTTGAAAATATATTTTCTAATTTCACCCTAGATAATTGAAGTTTTCTATCATTAATCAAAGACCAATAACAGAAAAAAAATTTCCCATGGGATACTTTATATGAATTATTATTGGAATTTTTAATATACTATTCAAGTTTTTGTTTTGAATTTTGTATTATTATCATTACACGTCATTAGAGTACTTTTTTTGATGATATTAGATAATAAAAAAAATACAAACACATACGCTCTCAAGTTAACACCTTTTACAGCCATGTTATAATCTTATCTTTTTTTTTCTTCACCACCAGTGAAATATTTATTATTTCAGATAGTTTTATCGTGATGTACGTGTCGCTTATATTTTCGACGATTCTTATTTTTTATATTAATGGTGGTTTAGCCATCGATTGTCCAAAATCATCAGCTAAATGGTGTGACAATAAAGATATTGCACATGCTTGTGGTGTATGTATTTAGTTTTAAAATCTTAATTTAACCTTTTTGTTTTTATTTAAGGTTATCGAACAATGTAATAAATACGTTTGGAAAGTCCGTGATGCCAATGATCTTGTCAATTTATCTATTTATTATGAAACCCTTTGTCCAGATTGTCGACAATTCATAACAACACAAGTTTGGAATACTTATCAAGCAATACTTAGTATTGTTAATATTAGTTTTGTTCCATATGGAAATGCACGTGAAGTATATCGTCCCGAAACTAAATTATATCAGTTCTATTGTCAACATGGTGCCGATGAATGTTATGGAAATATAATTCATGTAAATATGTCAAAGATATTATTTATTTATTTATTTATTTTCATGTTATTTTTCTTAGACTTGTGTTATATATTTATATGCAAATACGACAAGCCATTTAGTAAGGAATTTTTTTTTGAAAATTAAGTCTATTGAATTATTTTTATTATTATTTAGCCATTTATTTATTGTACAGAGTCCAAAGAAGGTGATGTTGAAACAATAGCTGAAGAATGTGCACAAAAGACTTCAATAGATTTTGATAAAGTTAGTGCTTGTGTCCAAAGTCGATTAGGTAATCAATTACAACATGCATTTGCTGTACAAACAGATAGTCTTCAACCGCCACATCAATATGTACCTTGGGTAACGGTCAATGGTGAACATACTGAAGAAATGGAACAAGAAGCTGAGAAAGATCTTATTGGGCTTATATGCAAAACATATAAAGTAATTTAGAAACCAGATATATGAGCAGATTGATTTTAAAAAAAAATTTCCTAATTCATCAGTCGATTGATATTCTGACATATTAGTTAACTTGTATCGATGAACATTTAATACATTGAACATTTTTATGAGTCACAATATAAAAGAAAAATTTCAATTTTTAAAATAATAATCATTATTTGTATTTTTTAGGGTTCAAATCCACCGACTGAATGTCAAAAATACCTGTGAAAAATTGACGTGATATATATTTTTTTTAACTCTGCTAATGTCTTTCTTTTACGAATTTTTTCTTCTTGTTTTGACAAATAAAATAAACTTAACTAGCATGTCATTAATTTAATAAATAAACTATTCATATTTTTGCATATCTTGTTTTCTAATTCATAGCAACAGAATGACTAATAAATGAGTCATAATCAATCTATTTCGACATTTCATCATTCATCATATCCTATTCGAAAAAAACCAATAGATTCTCATCATAATTATTACATAATTCAACAAGAAAATAATTTTCAATCTATTGGTGATACTCTTTTCGTTCATAATCTTCTTCAACAAATCAATATTCAACCATCAACAGATTTTAATCATAATGATTATTTCTATATAATCTATCTATTATTATTAACTATTTTTTATATCTATTATATAAGAATTATTTTTCAAGAAAAAATGAATCTATTTGATGATAATGAACAATATCATTATTTTGATAATTATGAACGTGAAATACCACTTTTGTTATGGTTTAGAAAAGGACATCGATTATATTGACCTTTATTCTTGCAGGTCTGGTGTCTTTCTTCTGTATATTATTTATCAAAATAGAAAGCGAAGAAAAAAAACACGAAAGAGAATAAGAAATGAAAGATGTACGAAATAATTGACAAAGAATGTTTTTTTTTACATGCTATTTGTACAATTATTGAGTCATAATAGAAGATCGGTTTTTTTTTCTTAATCGTAAAGTATTTATATTTTAGAATGATTTGAAATAAATGGACGTAGAGCGAATATTTAACTTATCTTCTTTTAACATTTGTTTTTTCTTTTATCATGGACAGATATTAACGGAATATTTTCTGAATTATCACAAATTTTTTTAACGCTACCAGAACATTGGAAACTTGGTGCATATCTTGCACTTATTACAAATCTGGGTAATATAGCATCTGCTTCTATTGTTCTCATATAATGTCTATATAAAAAACATATGTTTAATCCTATACTAATTAATTATATTATTATTATTATTATTATTGGTATGTTATCATGTTTTTTATTGATGTTTTTTCGGCAATATATAACAATTATAAGAAATGAAAAGCACAGTACAGTACTTCTTGTACTTGCTTTTTTTTCTATCTTCACTTAATTGTACATCATCAGTTTCATTCGTTGCTTATATACAAAGGTTTCGAAAACAATTTATAAGTGCTCTATTTCTTAGTGAAAGTCTTACGTCAATTATACCAAGTTTACTTACTATTGCACAAGGCAATGGAAAACTTCATTGTATTCCATCGATTCGTTGAACTAATATTACAAGAGCTATTTATGAAACTGCTCAATTTTCAGTTCCTAACGGTTTTTCATGTTTCCCTTTTCTTCGAATATGGTGATTGTTTTTTATTTCTATTAGTACAAAAGATACTAACTGCTCGAACAACATGTCAAAATATACCTAAAATATCTTTAAACTCTACTGAACATGATTTTGAAGCTACAAATACTCTTTTTTGAATAAAAATCAATCTTATCTGAATCATTTTATTTAACTAAAACATCTTGTCTTATGCTTCTATTAGGATGTGCTTATACAAATTCAATTCTATTTGGAATACTTCTTTCAGTTTTAACGCCATGCAGACATCGAGTTTTTTATTTAGGTACAATTTTATCCCCATGAATGTTAACACTTATTTGGATATTTGGTATCATAAAACCTTTAATATCTAAGCTTTATATATATTTATTTTAATTGTATGTGGATCAATATCATTTTTATTTGATATGTTTATTGCATTTAAAAGTCCATGTCCACCATTTGTTAATACAATAAAAGGTGATTCTTATATTAATTATTTGACTTAGTATTTATGTACCTTTCGGATATCCTCGTTTGATTATTGCAAATTATGTTCGAAATTATTCTTCCAATGCAATGTCTTAGTAGGGTGTTATTGTACAGTTAGATGCATTCTTTCGATCAATTATTATCTATCATTTAATAGAAATATTTTCTTTATTATATGAAAAAATATCTTGCGAACAAATCATTTGTTAATTTTATTTTTATAGTAATAAAATATGATTTACATACACAACGAATAGACTTTTTTTGTTCATTTAAAGATTGATGAAGTTGTTCTCTCTTTCTCT